AATGTAAAATATAAAAAATATAGGTACCAAATCGTAATTTGTCATTTGGATCCATGGATTGATCCATAAATCCACTAATCCAATTGGATTTGGATCAAATGGATTGGATTTAAATGGATTGGATTAAGTGGATAATTTGGTGGATGGATTGGATTAGATTCATGGATTTGGATCCTAATTGCCACCTCTATTGCCATGTCACATAGTTAACAGTCAACTATGACAATTGACTATCACGTAAGCTAAAGTTAACGAGACTAACGGAGAGTGACCAAACTTGAGCTATTTAACTAATTTTAGTGACCATGAATTGAATTAAATATTTGTAGTGATCAAATGTGAATGTTTTTAGTAAACCTAGTGACCAAACTTGCAATTTACCCTATTGTTTAATAAATAAAAATATAAAAATCTTGCAATTACCACATTACCCTTTATTAAATTGGATTAATTAGAATCATTGGATTTTAATGAGATAGAAGGATTGAGATTCACTTAATCATGTGGCTAACGAACCCTCCTAATCATGAGATCTTAGCCCGTCTAGAAGTAGGCGGAATAACCCTGGTCGTCTTCATAGACAAAACCCAATCAAAGATTAAAAAATAAAAATTCTAAATGAATATAATTAATTAAAGGCAAAATATACTTGTATAGCCAAAACTTTCTCGTTTGTGCCAATAATAGCCAAATTTGAAGAAATACCACTTATAGCCAGTTCCGTCCAATTTTTTAACGGTGTCATTCTTTAACACTTATAGCTGACTGGACTAACGGAAACACTGACATGGCGACGTTTCGTTAGTAACATTGCCACATTAACATTAAAAAAGAAAAAAGAAAAGAAATTATATTTTCTCTTCCCCTTTCGTTCCCCCGCTGCTCCCGTTCGACCGGGAGCAGATCATGTGAGTAACCTTGTGGTGAGTAACTCATGCATAACCCAATAAGAATCTGCCACATCAGCACCTTCTTCTCTCTCCTGGAAAAAATCATTAATTTTCTTTCCCTTAATCTTTAACGGACGATTCTCACTCGTTTTAACTCGGAATTTAATTTTTTTTTGCACAGTTAGATCAGAGTAATTGTGTTTTTCAAAATGATATCCACTTTGATATTTTTTGGAAAAAAAAAATTTCCCAGTTATTACCAGTCAATACCATATGGTTTTACGAAATGGGATTTTTGTTGGTGAAAAACAAAGAGTGACAAAGGGGTTGGGATGGCGATGACAATCGGCGAAATGGTTTGGGGTCCAAAAGCTGTAAAATGGAGAATAAAACAAAAAGTGGATGAAGAGATTTTGTACTGGTTGTGTGGTGACGGAGAAGCAAAGCTGCCGCTGCGACCTACTTGGCGGAGGTGGAAGAGGAGTAAGGGCGGCGACGAAGTTGCATGCTGATAGGGATAAACCGATGCAATTCGGTGTATTGTGGGGATAAGAGGAGGCCGGGGAGGCATGGTAGTCTGTCGGCGGGAGGCATAGAGTTTCTTCGGAAGACATGATGATACTAGAGTTTCAAAATCGGCGAGTCCCGCGATGCGAATATCAGGGAGATAAAGAAGTTTGGGGAAATTAAAGTAAATCTTTTATTAATTTATGACATGTAATTATTAAATAAATTTTAATTGTGACATGTCACTTTTGGTTTATTTGGTGTTGATGTGTACGCTAAGTTGGCGCCTAGTCATCAAACCTTCGAAAAAGTTAACGGTGTTAATGACACCATCAAAGTATCTAACGGAAATGACTATATTTGTCCAACATTCTTTAGAAAATCGCGCTATAAGTGGTATTTTTCCAAATTTGACTATTATTAGCACAAACGCGAAAGTTTTGACTATACAAGTATATTTTGCGTTAAATAAGTTGATTTTACTCTAATGTCCTTAGAACAAAATTCCCTATTCGTTCCGGCTATCGATGGCAAACGGAAATTACATGACTCACAGTAATAAGTCAAGGAGGCCTCTAGCGCTAGGGATGGAAATTGATCATCATCATTATTAAGATCATCACCAACACCAACATTAAAATCAGGGTGTTTGGACGAAGCCACAGTCATTGGAGCACCAGTTTATGCACTACGATCTCAACAAAAATTTTAATACTGGCTGGATATCGCCTCCCACCGGCGGCGACGTTCTTCTTGGATCCTCTCCTCTACGTCACCTCGGTCTAGGCTGATCAGTACTCCTCGCTATAGCTGGCCTTAGGGATCGCCAACTTCATCATCATTCATCATTAACTAATCAACTCGTTTCGTCTGATGATAATGCCATATCATCCGTCACACACCTGGGAAATTCGGGGTCTTGATGAATGTTGTTGATGGTGAGATATTGTAAAAGTTTGGTGAAGAGAAGTTGACAGAAATGGGTTCTTATTTATAGAGGCAGGGGACGGAGTCACCTCAAGTATATATTGGGGAAACCATGGCTGCAGATGCGACGGAGCAGGCGAAGCCTGTTCTTCGATTTGAGCGGTGGCAGTTTTGGATTAGGGGTGAGGAAGGGAGTAGGGATTTTTGGTTAGGATTTAGAATTGAAATTGGGTTGATGGATAAATATGTCAATTTGTTGTGTTTTAGGGCTATAAAATTTGAATTTTAGGGCGACAAATAGCTATTCAGAAAGAAGGGGCGCTGTATAAACTTTGATATTTTACGAACTAGTCACCGGAGTTTATGAAGCACACGACTAGGTTGTATTTATTTTTCATACATATTCAAACAAGGTAAACCTATAAATTATTTTAAAATAAACCAAAAATGACAATATTAGTTAATTTTTTCCAAATAAGTGTTTCATACTAATCCAAATTGATAAGAATAAAAAGCATATATTCTCTGATTAAGTGGTTTTGCATATGATGCAAGTGGAGCTTGAGGTAAATACCTTATTCGTCGCCCTAAATTTTATCAAAATGACCCAAATATCCTTAGTTTAATATTTATCTTTCAAAACACTAAACACTAAATAAAAACATACAGCTATACATTACTCGATAAAAAATAAAATAAAAATAAAAATATTGAATTTCAAGTTACAACTACAGTACTACACCCAATGTAGCCATTAAAAAATAAAAAAATAAAAAAAATCAACATCTGCCAATTACCTCTGCCGCTTCACCTCCACCTTCCATGTCCTGTGCAATTCTGGAAAAAATAAGGAACACAAATGCTGGGAAATTGCGATGAAGAAGCGTCGCGGACGGGTTGAGGTGGGCTGTGGGCCGGAGTTAAGAATCCGCAGCAGGACAGAGGAGGCGAGCGACAACCTTCTTTTTCTTCGTCTTGTTGCTCCTGCTTGGGATCGACTCTGGCAGTAGTAGCAGAGCATCGGTGGCAGTCGGGTTTAGTTGGATAGCTACCGGCGAGAAGAATCCGATAGCGGCAACTGCGACTGCAGGACAGAGCAGCTCGGCGGCGGCTGGCGGGATTTTTTTTAGGAATTTGGTTACAAATTAGGGTTGGAGGGTAAAAGTGTCCATTTGATGCATTTTAGGGCGACAAATTTTGAATTTTACGGTAACAAATAGCAATTCAGTAAGTAAAATATAAATATAATTATTCTGTCTAACGAGACAGGTCAAATTAATTAAAGGCAAAATACACCTGTATAGCCATAACTTTCACACTTTTGACAAATATAGCCATTTCTATTCGAAAACCACAAATAGCCAATTTCGTACATTTTGGTAACGGCGTCAGTTGACGGTATGACTATACTAACGGAAGATGCTGATCTGGCGATTTATTGTCCCTGCTAACTGACGTGGATTAACAAAAAAAATTGAAATAAAAAAAACAAAAAATATTTTCCCCTGAATTGGGATTTCTTCCACCGCCTCTTATTCCCTCCTAATTTGCCTCTAATGCTTCCAATCTTCTTCTCTTCCGCTGCCGCTTCCTCTCACCGGCCTCACCCCCTCTTCCGCTCTCTCCGACCCCTAGCCGTCGTCGCCTACTTCCCAACCTTCAACAAAAAAGAAGAGAAGAATACAGATGCAGGGATATGGCCCAACGACACCGACGCGACAGCCATCGAACCCTTCTGAATGAATTTAGATCTGCCATCGATTCCGAATAAAAAAACCCAAGCCAAAAGCCTCGGTGCATCTCAACCCTCGACTCTATCCCGGGCGTGAAACGAGAAGCTCTGTCGCTGGGCGACCGGCTTCTTCTCTGCTGTGTGGGGAGCTGGGGGTATAAAGGGTGGAGGATTGACGGTGGCTGAGATGGAGTTCGGAGGCGAAGAATCTCTGGCCGTGACGATGACGAAGCAAAGGGAGGAAGGGGAAGGGTCTCGTAGAGTTGGCAATGAATCGAGTAGATTCGTCAGTCACTCGATTCCGCTTCCCGTTTCCCAGATAGCCGTCGAGCTTGAATCGAGAAGAAGCAAGGGGGCAGAAGGTGCCGCCGCCATTATTGGTGGTGGTTAGGGTTCTTTTGATTGGGGAAAGGGTTGTTGTAGGAGAGATGGTTGGGTGAAAAGAGAGATGAGAGCGGGAGATGGGGAGACGAAGTGGCCGTAGAAGTTGCCAGAGGTGCCCTCGGTGGAGCGGAACCCGGAGGATGGGGACGGCGGGGTGGTGAAGATGATGCTACTGGTTGTGGGAGGTGGGCTGTGGTGTGGTGATTTTGGAGGGTGAATTGGATGGGAAGCAGCAGCTAATTGAAGAGGGTGCAACAGAGAATTAGTGGGAGATGTGGGAAAATGGAATCGGCTGGGAAGGTGGATTTTTTTTTTCAAAATTAATTATTTTATTCATTCAAAATTACGTGGCAATGATATGCTGACTGGTTACTGACGTGTGCGATAATTTGGCATCCTAGTCAGCCTAACGTTAACTTAACTGACGGAGTTTCTAACACCGTTAAAGTTTCTAACGGATTTGGCTAGATTTGTCACACTACCCTCAATTTTTTGGGCTACTTTTGGTTTTCGAATAGAAATAGCTATATTTGTCAAAAGTATGAAAGTTATGGCTATACAGATATATTTTGCCTTAATTAAATAGTAGAGTGTAAGTTAAAAAAGGCGACGATCGACCGCATATCATTATCCTCCATTAACTGAAGGCTGAAGGCAATCACAAAAGACAAAATAGATGCCTGGCTCCGCTCGGCTCCCAACTACAAAATACATCCGCTTTTTTTTTTTTTTTTTTGATAAAGGTGATAAAAATACATCCGCTTTCTTAGGGAGAGCAGAATAAAGGAGTAACAAGTATTGTAATCTAGTACTCATTGATTTGTTGTTATATAGAACAAAACAAGATCAGGGTTGAATAAGAAGAAGAAAGGAAGGAATGTGGTTCAAGCTAGATTCCATTGATTTGGGACACAGTAACTTGAATTTGAAGAAGAAATTAAAGTTTGGAATGAGTGGTGTAGCATTAGCTGGCTTGGCTAGAAGGGCTTTTGATTCTCACAATCCAAGTTGGAGCCGACATCCACGTCAAGCAAGTTGGCGTATCTTCGGAAGAAACCGATCCTGCTGTTCACCCGGGGGTCGTTGGGGTGGCCACATTCCAGGCCGCCGTTGATGATGTTTGTGACGAGCCCGAAACCGGCGGTCCGGTTGGAGTCCAGATCGGTCCGTTTGGGGCTGTATCTCCCAACCATCACATCGTGGCAGGACGGCTTCGGCTTCTGGTCCGTCATCCAGAACCAGAGCGCCGTCTTGAAAGCAATCACCGAATTGTTGGCCACCACTTCTGGGTTCCGCAGCCCATCAAAACCCAAGGCCTTCCCGGCCTGCCCATAATTGTAGTTCCTGTATGCCAAATAATTAATTGCTAGACCGATCGAGATTAATTAATTAAGCTAGCTAGCACTCTTACCATGAGAGTTGGATGGGACCTCTTCCTTTATAGGACTTGCCGGGGAAGCAAGGCCATTCCTCATTGGCGGCGTCGCAGTAGTCGCTTTGTGGGCTCACCTCCTCTTTAAAGCACAGTCCCCACGCGTAAGGCCCGTCGGGAGCGGTGGCCCACCCTCCGGTGGTCTCGTGCGAAATCTGAGCCAGGAACGCCGCCGCCTCCCGCCGCCGCCTCGATGCCACCCCCGTCGCCGCGAACCTCGGGAAGCACCGGGCCGCCTCCACGAACGACTCGTACGTGTACAAGTTGCTGGCGGGGCAGGCCGCGTCGTCCTTGTGGATGAATATGGCGCCGAACAGCTCCTTGCTCACCACGGAACCAACCCCGGCGGTTTCTCGCGACCGTCTTCCGGCATCGGCGGCGAAAAGGGGGAGGCAGATGAGAATTAGTATTAGTATGATAATGGAAGAAGCGGCCATTTTGGAATGGCCGGGGAGGTTTTGACTTTGTTTTGGTTTCTCTTTTGGGGGTTGGAAATGATTATACATAGCATTAGCAAGGAGGACATGTACCTATATGTGTGGGCTCATTATTTATATATTGGGTGGAAACTGGAAAGCAGGCCATTCACTTTTACAAATACAAGTAGCTAGCTAGCTAGCATAGGGTTAGTACTGAACTATTAGTAACCACACGGGAGCCGTAGATCTGGGGGATTGAGCAATCGTGTGACTGGGTTGGACGCAGCCACACAGGGGTGAGAAGGGACATTTTTGTCCGTTTTTATATTTTTAATTTTTTTAATTTCGCATTTCAATGGTTGGTTTTCAATGAAAGAGAGAGAATGATCTTTTCTCTGCAACTCTACTTTCTTCGTTCTCTCTTCCTTTTTCCCAATCTCTTTCCAGATCATTTCTCTTTCTCTATTCTTTCTCTCCTACTTTTTCTCTCACAATATCATTTTCAAATCTAGATCTGCTCTCTTCCTTCTTCATTTTTTCTCTCTAGCAATCGACGAATAAAAATTGAAGTCACCCTCTTTTATTGCGTTTCTTCTCTTCATTAACTCGTTGGCTTTAATTTCGATCTTTCTCCTTTTTTTGGCGTTTGGTGTTCTTTGGTTGCGGATAAAATGAAATGAGACAGAAGACAAGTTTTTTTTCTCTCTCCTTTTGTTTTTTCCTTTCTTTTAGGTAATATATATTGGTATTACCACACAATACTATATTGGTAACGAAATATATATTGGTATTACCACTCTATACCATATGGTATACCACTCTATACCATATGATATTGGGTGGTAACGAAATATATATTGATATTACCACACTATACCATATGGTATTGGGTGGTAACGAAATATATATTCACGTGGCAAAATTTTTCATACCATATGGTATGCTCTTATTTAATACCAGTCAATACCATATGGTATAGACTGGTAATAACTGACAAATTTTTTTGTGTCAAAAAAATATCAATGTGGATATCATTTTGAAGAGCACAAATAATCTGATCTAACTGTGCAAAAAAATTAAATTTCGACTTAAAACGAGTGAGAAATCGTCCGTTAAAGATTAAGAAAAGAAAAATTAAATGTTTTGCGAGGAGAGAGAATCAAAAGTCAGCGTCAACAATAAATAGGAGTAAGTGTGATTTTACTGTACTGCCCTTTCAAATTTAATTTACTCAAAAAGTGACTGACACATTGAGACCAGGAAAGGGGTTACTGATGGGTTACTAACCTATCAATTACTGACTCGATCTGGACGCTAGCTAGCCGGCCAATTTGTGGGCCCGCAAAAGAAACGCTGCTTTTTCTCTCTCTCATGGTATTGGTATTTGGTAGGTATCCAAGTCCCCTTAAGTTGATAAGTTTGTCCTCGTAAGTGAATGTGGAAAATGTATATATGTTTTCGGATTTCTTATCATGCTTTCGGATCACTATATGACGTTAACGTCAACTTTTATTTTCATAGCAAAACGAGGAATTTTACAATGTTTTAAAGTATTGGTTTTTTAGTTTTTCTTTTAGGGCAATGTCTATTTTTTACCCAAACCTTTTTCAAATTCTTTTATTTTAACCAAACCTATTGAATTCCTAAAAATTATCCAAACGTTAACTCTTCGTCAATTTTTCTGTTAGTAATGCTGACTAAGTATGACCATAATGAGTTGACTTCCTACGTGGAGTCAGAATACCATCATTTACTATTTTTAATAAAAAAATTATAAAAAAAAAACAAAATCCCACTCCTCACGTGGACGAAATAAGTAACGGTAATAGAATGAATGCCCAGACTTTGATAAAATATAATACGTTTGGATAATAAATAGAATTTCTATAGGTTTGGTTAAAATAAAAGAATCTGAAAAAAGGTTTGGGTAAAAAATAGACATTGCCCTTTCTTTTATTGTAAAATTTGAAATTGTAACTTTAACGTTATAGTACAATTTTAGGTTGTACCTATACTCTTTTGTAAAATTCTTTTATGATACAAACTAAAATTGCAACTTTATGTTATGATACAACTTTACCACTTAAAATTGTACCACAACATAATTGTCAAATTGCCTTTTGGTACAAGTGCTTAAGTGACGCAGACGGAAATCACAATTGGCTTGCAATCGCAAAGCCAAACTCACGCAAAGCTTGCCAACCGCAAACTTGAATAAGATTTTGGAAATCCACCAGAGAAACGCCCGCTAGAGCTAAGTTTAATTTCAGCAAAAGATGATGTTCTCAATCGTGTAAACAAGGGCTTACATACTACAACCCACCTATCCCTTCCCGCTACTGTCTAGGAAAAGTAAAATAATTAAAACAAGAACAATTAAAAATAAACTATCCCTTCCCGCTACTGTCTAGGAGAAGTAAAATAATTAAAACAAGAACAATTAAAAATAATGCAGGCCATGCACGCCATGTCGACTCCCGTCAGCTCCCGTCAGCTCCCGCCAGCACCTGCTCCTCCTCGACTCGGACAACTTCCTTTAGTTTGTTCTCCAGCGCCGCTACATTAGTCTCCCCCACCTGTAAAGAACTCGACCCCGAGTTCGTATCAGGATAAATGATAGAATCTTCATGAAACTCATAGATATCGGCCACGTTAAAGGTGTTGGAAATATTCATAGAAGCCGGTAAGTCGATAACGTAAGCATTATCATTAATCCGCTTGACCACGGTGAAAGGACCGTACTTGCAGGGCTGCAACTTAGAATAGGTGCCCACGGGAAACCTCTCCTTCCGGAGGAACACCATAACAGAGTCTCCTTCAGCGAAGACCTTCACCCGACGATGGACATCGGCAGCAACTTTGTTCTTTTGACCGGTGGCCACAAGCTTGGCTTTAACAGCGGCCTTCACAGCTTGTACATCCCTCGCCATGTTTTCAGCAGCCTGGCTGACGCCCGGGGTATTGGGAAGGGCGACCAGATCAACGACATGCCGCGGAGGGGAAGTATAAACAAGAGAGAAGGGTGTTTTACCAGTAGCCGAGTGGACTGCACTATTGTACGCAAACTCAACCTGGGGCAGGGCCAAATCCCATTGCTTCGGCTTGTCGCCACACACACTTCTGATCATGTTACCCAGCGTACGATTGGTGACCTCGGTTTGCCCATCTGTTTGGGGGTGGGCGGTGGAACTCCGGTTCAAGGTAGTCCCAAACATCCGCCAGAGAGTAAGCCAGAAATGGCTAAGAAATTTGGTGTCGCGATCAGATGTAATGGATTTCGGGACGCCGTGCAAACGCACGATCTCCTTGAAGAACAACTTGGCGATGTTAGATGCATCGGCGGTCTTTTTACAGGCGATGAAGTGAGTCATCTTAGAGAAACGATCGACGACCACAAAAACAGAATCCACGCCACGTTGGGTACGGGGCAAGCCCAGCACGAAGTCCATCGAGAGGTCCAACCAGATGTCATTAGGGACCGGGAGCGGCAAATAGAGGCCAGTGTTCTGCGACTGGCCCTTGGAGACCTGGCACACGTAGCAACGCTTGACAATGTTGCCGACGTCGCGTCGAAGGTGGGGCCAAAAAAACCGTTCCTCCAAGCTAGCCACTGTTTTATCGCGACCCAAATGGCCCGCGAGACCGGCGCCATGTAAGTCCCTGATCAGCTTCTCACGCAAGGACGAACTAGGGACACAGAGACGATCTCCCTTAAAGAGGTACCCCTCGCGAACATGAAAGTCATCGCGTGGGTGTTGTTGCGTGCAAGTGAACCATACTTCCTTGAACTCAAGGTCAGTGGCGTATAAATCTTTGAGGAATTCAAAACCCACTATCTCTTGGGCCAACGTAACCAGCAAAGAAGCTCGGCGGCTTAGCGCATCCTCCACCTTATTCTAGGCACCCAACTTGTGTTGTATGATGAAAGGGAACTTCTGCAAGTAGCTCACTCAGCGAGCGTGCATTTTGTTGATGATCTTCTGGCTATGGAGAAATTTCAGTGCAAGATGGTCAGTGAAGAGAATGAACTCCCGCTGGATCAAGTAATGCTCCCACTGTCGGAGTGCACGAAATACAGCATAAAACTCTTGATCATAAGTGCTCCACTTATGGCGGGCGTCACTCAATTTCTCACTAGAGAAAGCAATAGGTCGTTTTTCTTGAGAGAGGACGGCACCCACCCCAACGCCGCTAGTGTCACACTCAACCTGAAAGATTTTATCGAAATCCGGGAGGGCGAGGACGGGTGCAGTGCATAGCTTCTCTTTTATCAACTCGAAACTGCTCTCTTGTGCTGGACCCCAGTTGAACTTCCCCTTCTTCAAACACTCGGTGATGGGTGCAGTGATGGAGCTGAAGTCACGAACGAAGCGACGATAAAAGGTAGCCAAGCCATGGAAGCTCCTGATCTCGGTCACGGATGTCGGCGTGGGCCAATCCCAAATAGCCCGTACCTTATCCTCATCCACCTGTATTCCTTCTTCACCCACCACAAAACCCAAAAACAAAAGCTTGTTTGTGCAGAAAGTGCACTTCTTTAGGTTAATATATAACTCATTCGCCTGCAATGCCTGGAGCACCCGACGAATGTGGACTAAATGATCGGACTTAGATTTGCTGTAAATTAGTATATGATCAAAATAAACCACCACAAAAGAGCTAATAAAAGGGCGAAGAACCTGGTTCATCAGCCACATGAAAGTGCTCGGGGCATTGGATAAGCCAAACGACATAACCAGCCATTCATAGAGGCCATCTTTACTTTTGAATGCCGTTTTCCATTCATCGCCCGGTCGAATTCGAATCTGATGGTACCCGCTGCGCAAATCAATCTTGGAGAACACCTTTGAACCAGCCAGTTCATCAAGCATATCTTCAAGGCGTGGAATTGGAAACCGATACTTGATGGTGATTTTGTTGATAGCTCTACTGTCTACACACATGCGCCATTGGTTCCCTTTTTTCGGAACAAGTAGTGCCGGGGACAACGCACAGACTCATAATCTCCCGAATGAAACCCTTCCTTAGGAGGTCCTCGATTTTTTCTCGCAATATCTCATTTTCGCTTGGGCTCATGCGGTAATGAGGTAGGTTGGGTAAACTGGACCCCGGGATCAGATCGATCTAGTGCTGGATATCGCGCATGGGAGGCAATGCGTTAGGCAGCTCGTCCGAAATCAACTCTTTAAAGTCCTTCAAAATTTCGTGGACCTCAACTAGAGTGGTGGGTTCAGTTGTTGCGCACTTATTAATCCCTTAACCACTACTGGGCAGATCAACGCAGACTCCTGGAATGCATCCTGTAACTCTTGTTCATCCCTTGTCATTATGAGGAAGCTTGATTTGGTTTTCCCGGGCGGTTTCGTGAAGCTTGAAACCGGTGCCATGGCGATCTTGTGCCCGTCCCACGTGAACATCATCACATTATCCTTTCCTCGATACGTGATGTCATTGTCATACTGCCAAGGCCGCCCGAGAAGGACATGGCACACGTCCATGTTTAGCACATCACACACCACCTCTTCTTTGTAGTGCTTCCCAATAGAGATTGGAACTTTGCAAGTTTTCGTGACCTTAACTTGTGGCCCCTTGCTCACCCATCCCAAAGCATAAGGTTTCGCGTGGGGCTCTGTTGGCAACTCAAGGTATGACACTAGCTTTTGAGAGACCAAATTCTCCGTACTGCCGTTGTCAACAATGAGATTACATACCTTGTTGTAAATAGAACAATGGGTCCTAAACAGATTCTTCCTTTGACCTTCATCTATTGTTGACAGCAAGACCCGTTGCAGAACAATGTTGATCGCATCCTCCGATTCCCCTTCAGCAAACTCAACATCGGCATATTCATTATCTTCCTCTTCCTGGTCGCGTTCATCCTGAAGTACTGCGACTGTTTTCCGGGAAGGGCAAACATTGGATCTATGTCCCTGCCCGCCGCATCGAAAACACTTGTCACCAGTTGGCCTTGCATATGGGTTTGCAGCTCGTGGTGGCGGTCCTCTATTCGGGGTAGAACTTCCCACGCCACCACTGCCTTTTATAGGCGGAGTTGGCTCACTAGCGGTGGCCGCTTTGTCCTTGTCACCTGTCGTTTCACTTATGCCTTGCAAAGGAAACCGTCAAAACGGAGAAAAGTGCTTAGGGGACTTCTCCATTAGTTCAGCTTTCATGACCAAGGTAGAAGCTTCAGCCACCGTCCATACAGTCTGTAACCCCATCTTTTCTTGTATTGACCCTTTCAACCCGTTAATATAGCGAGCGACCTTTTGTCCTTCCGTCTCTCCCAATTCATTGCGTTCAGCAACACGCAAGAATTCAGTGGTGTATTCAGTAACACTTCTTCTTCCTTGCACGCAATCGAGGTACATCTTGTACAAAATCTGCTCATAGTCCTCCGGAAGGAAACGCTCCATCATCAGCTGTTTCATCCGTCTCCACGATCGGATGGGGGCCTTACGTTGGCGTTGTCGTTGGACGACCAGTTTATCCCACCACACAGCTGCAGTGCTCTTCAACCTGACAGCCACCATCTTAATTTGCTTACTTTCAGGTACCTCCATCACGTCAAAAAAACGATCGACGTCGATCTGCCAGTCTAGGAACTCCTCGACTCCCATGGTTCCGTAGAACAACGGAATATCGGCCTTCACTCGATAGTCATTGCGGTTCTGTCGATCATTATCATCATGATCCTGGTCTCTGTCCTCGACCTCTTCATCCGAACCAGAATCAGAATCAGGTAGAGCACCACGCGCCCTCCTGGGACGTTCTTCACGCTCGACTCTCCTGCCCCTCTCCCTCATGTTCTGATTGTTGTTCACCCGAGCCACCAAATTCGTCACTTGCGTTGTCAAGGTTGTGATTGCCGTGGTGAAAGCCGCGGTGATTGCCTCGATGTCCGCGCGTGTGACCGGTTGATCTCCCATGACTGTGCAAGTTTAGAAAAGAGACAGGAGAAGCCTGCTCTGATACCACCTGACGTAGACGGAAATCACAATTGGCTTGCAATCGCAAAGCCAAACTCACGCAAAGCTTGCCAACCGCAAACTTGAATAAGATTCTGGAAATCCACCAGAGAAACGCCCGCTAGATAAGCAATTAAAGAACTCTTGTGCAACATGCTTGATAAACTATGGACTTTGCTATGGTGACATGGATGTCACGGTGACATGCACTTTTCGGTCGACCTCATATAGGATTAGGTCGACCTAATCTATTGTTTCAGTGTAAAAACAGTTTCATGGTGTCTACTTTGGAGATTCATATCTTACAATTGGCTAGATGAAAATTTGAGATCAATGACTTGTTTTTAAGCTGAAGTGTCCCTCTACACATTAAAATACTTGGGAGCTCAATAAGAAGTCCAAACACCATTTTTGAACCTAATCAAAAGGCTATGCCAAAACTTGGAAACTGCCTGAAAATGGCTAAGTCTGGGAACGTGTTTGTGAAGCCTACTTTGGAACTCAATTCGAGAAGCATGAATTCGAATCGAGTCCAGGGGACTCTACCACGTTAAATTAGGTATGTTTTTATACAAATTCAAGACATTGGATGAAAGATTGGATATCTATAAGGCTTCAAACAAAAGGGTCGAAGTTGCTACGAAGGTTGTTTTTCTGGCAGCTTGCTTGTGCTCAAAGTCTGCCAGAAAAACAGTTTTTGTAGCAACTTCGACCCTTATGTTTGAAGCCTTACAGGTATCCAATCTTTGATCCAATGACTTGACTTTGTATAAAAACATACCTAATTTAACGTGGTAGAGGCCCCTGGACTCGACTCTCATCCATGCTTCTCAAATTGAGCTCCAAAGTAGGCTTCACAAACACGTTCCCAAACTTAGCCATTTTCAGTGAGTTTTCCAGTTTTGGCATGGCCTTTTGATCAAGTTAAAAAATGGTCTTATGGAATACCTATCGAGCTCCCA